GTCCATCCAAACACGGAAACCATAAAGTAATTGTTTTATAAAATAACAACAACACGGTAGTCTTCCGTGTTTGGATGGCCTGATCCAAACACGGCTTTCGACCAATCAGAATACGCGTTATATACATGTTATTTTATAACAATCATTGACCCGAGTAAAACCTATGATGCCAATATGGGCCAATTGGCGGTTTAATTAACCACCTTACATAACAAACGTCAGGAACTCTGCGATAACCAGTTTGAAAGAACTTAATCTCAGTACCCTCGCACAAACTCTTCAGTCTTTTACTGCCAAGACATGGTCCCAATCTAAATCTTACATACCATGAGTATGATCTTCCACGAATTCACACGGACAGATTCAGTCACTCCTTCATCCCAGCAATGTGTGCGAAAAAGTTTTTAAAGACGTAATTTTATAAACATTTAACTTACAACTCTAAGACCTAATTTTAACTTTTTTTAGTTCCTAGTTTGAGTATTCTTATTGTAATATATATTAATCATTACATAGTTTAACTTTTGACATTTCCAACACATGTAATATTCAAATTACGCAATTCAGCCGGTTGGCTGCTATGTAATTTTTCTTTTAAATAAACTATCTATCTATCTATCTATCTAGATTATACTATTCTTGTTTATATATTATACTATATTAGATTGTTGTTGTCGTTGTGTGAAATTTAAATTTCTCCTGCGACAGTTTGAATATAAACTTTGCTCAGGCTATTATTTGTAAAATAGAACCTGATACTTAGGTTATGATCGCCATGCATCGCGACGTTCAACATGGGTCGTTGTAAGTCGTTGTAGGGTCGCTATGTAGATCATTGCAGGGTCGTTGTAGATCGTTGTAGGTCGTTGCAGGGCCGTTGTATATCTTTGTAGATCGTTGTAGGGTCGTTGTAGGTGGTTGTAGATCGTTGTAGGCTCGTTGTAGGTGGTTGTAGATCGTTGTAGGCTCGTTGTAGGTGGTTGTAGATCGTTGTAGATCGTTGTAGGTGGTTGTAGGTCGTTGTAGGTCGTTCCTTACTTTAGTACCTACGTTATTTAAATTCAGCCCATTTTTTCGTTTAATTAGCCGGCGAATTTCTCCCGCGACGGTGCGAGACCAAAAAATCGCTAAAACTTTGAAACTAAATATATTTTCAAAATTCCACATAGCATTTGCTTGTTGTTAAAGTAAATGTAGTTCACGGTAAAAGTTTCGAAGAAATTTATTTTTCGAGCCCCAAGTCAGTGGGCGGTTTTTAGAGACACACGCTCTTAAGAGGTAAAAGGAAAGTGCGCTAAGCACTTCGCCACCGCGAAGCCCCCCATTATTATAATATTATAACAGCATCTCTAGTGCCAGAAAGTGTGTCGCAAGTTGCAGCAAAAATTGCCTGGTGTAACAATGTTGGATAAGGGTTATATGGAACTTGACGCAAGAATTTGATATCTATAATCCTTTGAAGCATACAGCAATACATATACCTGACTGTCAGCGGCCTGGCTAATCTGAGAAGAATCAGTCTTCTGAACTAAAGTATATTTTCCTTTCACTGCCACAAATTGCAGACGTTTATCCCACGAATTTTTTGTTTTCTCCAGAAATTTCTTTTTAAAGTTTTTCTCAGCATTCGCTTGGCTTAGTGGACCATCTAGTTTACTTTGCCCACCAGTTCCCTAGAAAATATCGTTTAAGAATTTGTCAATGCCTCTTTTAAGAATTTGTATATTGGGGGGGGGGGGAAATCTTGGTCACGTATCAGGAAATCCAAGCAGGGCCGTATGGAAGAAAATAAAGAAGACCGGCTTGGAGGAGGGGGGGGGGAGGGGGTCACCAATTTTTCCGGACATACAAAAATTTTTTCGTACATGTATCGTAATTTTTCCGGACATATCGTAATTTGTTAACTTTTCCCGTAAATTTAGCAAAATTTTTGCTATAACTTTCAAAAATCATCAATAATTCATAAGGAAAACACAAAGAAAAATCCATAAGCGTGGTATCTTTATATGTGATAGAGATTTCCCTTGATTATTATAAACTTTAACTTTGATTTTCTCGACTTACACAACGTATTTTTTGAAAATTACTTTGAAGCAATTTTTGAAGCGTTTTTGAAGCAATTTAAAACTTTCGCAGGGCGTGTTTTATCAGACCTAAAGATACTCGCGGCTTCGCCTCGTATCTTTATAACTGATAAAACACTGCTGCTCATGTGTTAAATAGTACATACTTTTTATTCCGTACCACTCAAACATTTTCGCAGACTACGAAAACAATTTGCCAATAAATCAGAAAACAATTTGCCGAGTCTAGCAGACATTGCCGGGTCTGTGTGAATGGGGGTGTTACATCTCCCACACACCCTCTAGCTACGCTCCTGAATCCAAGGACTATTAAAAGGAATGGAAGAAGGTGTAGAATTCAGTAAAAAGTGACATTAAACTGTTCAAATGGTAACTTTAATGCAAAACAGTTTGTAAGACATGAACAAAATATTTTTAACAAAATGTCCGTTTTTTTATGTCTAATAATTTCAGAAAATATCCAGAAACTAAATTAAAGCATGAATAATTTAAGGACTTTAAAGCACTTCCTTATAAATTCAAGGACTTTCTCAAAGCCTTGAATTTTTGTTTTCAAATTCAAGGAGTTTCAAGTTTAATTTGTACAAACCCTGCAACTGGTAGGGGGTACACCCCAAAACATGTAGTTTGAGCCTCTGGGGCTTGATTATTAGCATTTTCAGACACTACAATTTGAAAAATTATTTCATCTGGTAGACAAAGGTTTGGTCATGAGGGAATATTAAAACACTCTTAACTGTTTTGTTTCACTTTTTGCTTGTATTTTAGGGCCTGTTCATCATAATATGAGTTCTGTTCTATTCTGTGTTTATACGAAATGGGACAAAATTATGTAAACATGGCATCTATGAAATGTATTTTGTTGTAATCCAAACAAAAAGCACCTTGTCCTTGTATTACAACTTTAACAGTATCTATTTAGGTCTATTACCATTAAGATGCACTGCACCCTAATGAGCCCCACTTTATTTAGTTTTACTCTGTCAAATGCCTGACGGTTTCTTCTGTTCAAGGGGGGAGCACTGGCACTGAAAAAGTTAATGTTTATTTTTTGTTTCACATATTTTCCAATTATGCTATTCAACACTACATTATAGCTCAAAGTTGGCAAGAGATGTCCATCCCACTGGACTGAGATCCCACCTAGCGCAAGGCCAAATCTCACAAATGGGCTATTCCATTTAATATCCGTCCCCCCCCCTGTCGAGGATACATGTTTTTCATGGTTATACCCCTGAAGAATTCCAAGCTCAAAACCTTCTACAACTGAAGAATTCCAAAATTCCAAGCTAAAAACCCCTTACCCCTGAAGAATTCCAAGCTGGGCTCATATTTATACACCCTCAGACAGAATGACAGGGTCTTCACTGGAGTTTTGATGGAAATCATTGCGAGGTATTACAAAACATTACGAGCGTCCTACGATGGTTCACCAAAGTTTATGAAGAGGCACGAAGGTACACGATAAAAACGTTTACTGATGAAACGAAGAAACCTCAAGAAAGACAACCGCGGGAACCAAATTTATTCATTTTCCCCCCATAATATTAAATTTGGGCCGAGTTTTAAATGTAAACATTCACAAGTTATGGTAAAATATTGGTAAATTCAAGACCCTAGCTAGCCTTTTAGCTCTTCACGATTCAGGGCACGCATATTAGTCATGATTCACGGAATGGCATTTCTTTAAATCACGAATAATTGCTAATCACGAGTCACAAAAATACCCTTGAGCCCCCCCCTTGGTAGATGGAAACAAATGAAAACCGTGTTAAACACTGAAGCCCTGTTTACACTACGCTCAATTTTTGGTACGGCACGGATAAAATTGGTACCCGTATCACTTAATAGGTAGTCCAAGAACCAAAAAAGTGGTACGGTAAATAGGTAGTCCAAGAACCAAAAAAGTGGTACGGTACCAAAAATTGAGCGTATAGTGTAAACAGGGCTAATGAGTCATTTCACTCAAACATTTCTAACAAATCTTTCAAAATTTAGAATTTACTGATGCAACATTTCTACTTTGAAACCTGGGGCCGGTTGTTCAAAGCGTAGTTACTAAAACATAGAACGGCCCACAACGACCCACAACGACCCCACAACGATCCACAATGACCCACAACGATCCAAAATGACCCCACAACGACCCACAAGACCCCACAATGAGCCACGTCGACCAAAAAACCAGCCACAACAATCCACAAGTTCACAACAATCCAACAACAATCTCTGCATGCGCAAGTGGAAGTCTTGCATTTCCCGCCAATTTTGATCACATGTGTTGATTATTAAACATGTCGGACGAAAAAGATGTGTACAACTCCAAATGGTTATCAATATTTTTCGGCCAAATATTTTAGTCGTTAAAAACAGATCTTTAATTTCTTTTGCACTATGTGAGAAATTCTGTAGTCATTACGAACATCGTCTGTCTTCGTGTTGTTCTGCCGTCTGCGCAAGCTTCATTTTGTTCATATTGTTTTCATATTATACTGAAAGTAAATATATTTATTAGTACAGTGGTGCATGTCCTGAATGTTATGAACAAAAGTATTCCTCTATCTGTGTGTGTCGATGCTCTCACATTTAACCCTTGCTAGCTCATTTATTCTCCGTGTTTTAAATCCCACCGGTTCGCGTGAAGATCGGGATTAGGATCGAAAGCTTTGCAATAATAAAATATGTGGTGTATCCACAAACAATAACTTATATTGTTTATTGTCATGCAAAATTGCAACTGAAGGTAATTTTGGGATCGTTGTGGGTCGTTGTGGGGTTGTTGTGGATCGTTGTGGGTCGTTGTGGGGTCATTGTGGGGTCGTTGTGGGTCGTTGTGGATCGTTCCATGTTTTAGTAACTACGTGTTCAAAGGTGGGTTAGTGCTAACCCTGGGTTAAAATTCAACCTGCTATTGTCGTTGTGGGTCGTTCCTAGTGATGGGCGATACCACCAGTATCAATTCGATACCGATTACTTTTTTGTAAAAGTATCGAGGTATCGATTATCCAAACAATTACTACGACGACGATTGTATTTCAGAATTTTCCGCCATTATAAGTTATTTCCCGCCTTTTTCATAATTTATTCTGTCGAGGAGGTCCGGAATATTAATCGGGGAAGTGGATAGAATGTCAAATAAAGTAAATTAAATTGGTAAATGCAGCAAAATACAAAAAAGCACATAAATTTTATTAGAAATAGCCATGAAAACGATGACACAACTACAGAATTATAATAAATGTCTAATTTTAAAAGTAATCAATTAAAACACTTTTTCGATACCGTGCAGTATCGACTACTTCCGATTTGGGCCTGGTATCGGGTGGTATTGATACCAAGTAATCGGTAATCGCCCATCACTAGTCGTTCCATGTTTTAGTAACTACGTGTTCAAAGGTGGGTTAGTGCTAACCCTGGGTTAAAATTCAACCTGCTATTTAGTTTGTGTATTGCTGCACATTTGTTTATTTTAAAACTTCAGAGAAGCAAACTCCTACTGATCCAGATAAGGTCACTGAAGAAATATTTTCCAATTTACAGACAAGCTGTCAGGAAGTTTGCTTTGAATTTTAGGTTAACTTAAGGTTGAACTAACCTAGCTTTGAACAACTGGCCCCTGCTTTTAAACATCCCGCCGTCCCGCGCGCGTTTTGCAAACAATACAGTCTGGAATATATTAATTTTATTAATAAAGTATCGAGATATACCACATACATTTCTTCCCCATCTTGTCCAAACATGAAATCCTTTGTGATTTTTCAACACTTGAATATGGTAAAATCTATCTGACTTTTCACCAGCAAAGTTAAGTACACAATCGAAATCTTGAAATATTTCGCCTGACTGCAATTTGCAATATTCATCCATCTTTAATACCGCGAAATTTTGATGTTTAGGACCTGGGGCGAGCGTGTTTTCGCGCGAAAATCCAAGCAACAATATAGATTTTCATCAATTTTAATTGACATTTGACAGTTTTATTTTGCGATTTTCCTCGTTTTTTTCAATTGGGAAAAGACAATTGTTCATGTTCATGAGAAGACTGAGAGAGATACAGTATATGCGCCTTGCTCTTTGCTGAACTTCCCGCATGGCGGCGGAAATATATTTTTACAATGATATCACCTTAGATACAGCACCTTAGAATGTGGGTATGTTGAAGTTTATTCGCTTAATATCTTATGCTTATGTTTTATAAAATTGGCTTTACGAGCCATGCAAAATTTATTGTACACCCGGGCCGGAGCAAATCAATTTTAATTGAATCATAAAGTGACATTACCAGAAATTCAATTGGCGACAAAATGGTCCGTTTTTATAAATGGTTACTGCTTGCTAATTTAATTTGGATATACTACAGGGTGTATCAAAAAAACCGCAACCTCGGAATTTCCCAAGAAATCGACATTGTTTTAAAGACAAAAGATTTTAGGGGCCTGGAAATTTAAAATAGCACAACTGTCAAAATTACTGCACACGCGAGTGCATAAAGCAAAATTTATGCATTTATTATTAAATAACAACAACAGTAATATGATCTATTAGCAATTCGATTTCAATTCCCAGGGGCCTAAAATCTTTTATGCTTAAGAATTGCAAAGTGATTTCTTAGGAAATTCCGAGGTTGCGTTTTTTTTTATACACCCTGTATAACCCATATATAATTGCTTTCAATTTTTAATAGGGGAATATATAGGGCGAAATATAGGGCTTGAAATTTTGGCAATCTGAGAGCTTGGCTACTGTTTGCCAACCTTGTGATGAATAAAGCATTCATTATTAATGTTTCATTGGCCACATATTTATTCCGATTGGGTACAGTGAACTCTGATCGGGTGTCTCTCCTAGCGGCCAAGTCGTGTTCAAGAAAGTCACTTTTATGTCATCTTCGTAAGATTAAAGTGCTGCCGACCAATTTTGTTTTGAGATTTAAAAAAAAGCAAGCCCGCTTAGGTTGGTATGATAAAAATCTCCAGCCCCGCTTGGAACTTTGTTCTTGGAAAAAGTTGCTGCCCCGCACAACTGAGGGTGGGAAAGGGTGGGTACTTTTGTGAGCCGTGAATGGTCAATATTTGTTTGTGTGAAATGCTTGATTTTAGTGTTGTGAAATGTACAGCCATGAGGCGTGATTGTGGATGAAAATGCTCTGTGAAATGAGAATTAAGGATGTCTGTTTCGTGAACTGTGATTTTGCTTTGTTTATTTAGATCTATTTTATAATAGTCATAATAGACATGATATGCGATAATCAATTTATATGATCTCACTCGATTGCACAAGAGTAAAAACTTCGGAGGCCTTTCGGAGGTCGTCGGACATACTCGTCACTCAAACTATATGTAGAGAAGTGAGAGAACTTAAGCGTAGATACTGTACCATGCATTAAACATACTCTTAATAAACCTATTATTATTATATTATTTTGTTAGAATTTAGTTTTCCGTGAAATTGCTTTTTTGAGACATGTGAATCGTGAAACGCCTTTTTTTTTTCGTTGAGAAACGTGACCCATACCCCCCCCCTTTCCCACCCTCACTACTGTCAGCAAAGTGCTTACCGTAGAGTTGCTTACCATGTCAGCTTGAGGAAATCGCTGAAGTGTCTGAATCTGACACTGCAACCCCTGCAGGTCTGAACTTCTCCTCAAAGAGAATAGACCGTGCCCTGGCCTCTCACTTGTGGTTATTTCTCCTTCATCAGTGCTACACCTTCACCTTGTGTGTCACACCTTGCAAGGCAGAAAAAATCTTTGTGCCCCGCTTCTATGCAGTTGCAAGGCAGAAAAAATATGTGTGCCCCACTTCTATGCAGCTCAAAAAAAGTATGTGCCCCATCCCGTTTTGCTCCGGTCCCGTATAAAATAAATTTTAGTAGTGCCACTTAAGCCAGTTTTCCACTTCAATCGTATCATACCGAAACCTAGCGTATTTCCTGACCACTAGAGTGGAACTAATGACTTCGACACAAAAGAAAATGCTACTAACAGTAGCCTACGTTACGATACGGTTGAAGTGGAAAACTGGCTTTAGTTCCACTTAGCGATACAACGTGTCCTCGTATTTTTATGCAAAAATATGCAGTTTACTAATACTGGCTAGGACGAGCCAGTTCAGTATGGTTATTGGACAGAACATACAGTTTACTGGCTGAGCAACATGCGTAATGCGATATGCGCGAGGACAGAAACTTTAAAGGATACGACGTACAGTATTAAGTGGCACTACTGTCATTCCCTATACTATTCCCTTAGTTGATTATTTCTGAATTACAGCTGTTGCTGTACCAATGTATTAATAATGTCCGAATTCGACCAGTGCATTTGGGACCTAAAATTGGCTTGTCATTTTGTCGTCCCAGGCCCCGTCAATTCTATATTCTAATTCACAATAGTTTTCCCAGTGCTAGTAATAGTATTGAAAATTTGAAATTAATATCTTGATGTACAGTACTAGATATTCTACATGTACTTTTAGATTTTCATGGCCCTATGGCATAAAAATCAACTTAATTGATAGGTTACCATGCATGATTGAATGCTAAATGAAACTTGCCATTTTTGTGTTCATGTTTTCCAGTTTTGTCTCAGTGTTTACCATTTTTGCTTCCATGTTTTCAAGTTTCGTTTCCGTGTGTGCCATTTTTGTGTTGATGTTTGCCAATTTCATTCCCATATGCAGTTGATTCGTGTTGCTGTTTGCCATTTTCGTTCTCACATCGGTCTGATTCGTGTTGATGTTTGCCATTTTCGTGTTCGGGTTTGCTATTTCCGTTTCCATGTCCGCCATCATCGTGCTGATTTCTCCGCATGCAGTTGTGACCCGCTTCAGCTTTATAAATTGACACAGTTCACTCTCGTGATGTGTACGATCTCTTTTACTGATTGTCTCACCACAACCTTGATTTCCCGCATTGAGTAAACCCGCATTCGGCGACATGTCGCTTTAAATTCTGCAGCTGTACGGGTTCTCGACATCCTCTGTCGTAATAATCACACCGAATGCATAGTTCGTTTAATTAATCCTTTACAATTCTTGGAACTTCGGTTAAGATTTCGTCCGGCACATCACTAGGGAACGGCTGGAACCGAGCCTAGCACATCACAGGCTCTTTCAAATACGTTAAAGCAGATCAAATAAAAAATATCGAAATTTCGGTTTACGATCGTCCCGAATCTTTCGTCATCGTATCCAGGCTGATAATTTGAAGCCATATTTACTCGCTGTTCTCCTAACTTGAAAATAAAGCAAATTCTACTTAATACCACTGATCGCTTTGGTTTGCTGATAAAACGCGCCGAAATAGACTGTTTTTTTTACTACCAAATAACTTACCTTTATTTTACTTCTGTGAAACGTTTAGTAACATTCTCTATCATCTTTAAATTCAACTGTATATTAATGATCAAAATACTGCCACGTATTCAGCGCGTCTACAGACAATAACTTATTTTGCAATAAAGGGAACATACATGACATCTGTTACTGTAGGTCTTGATTGCATGGCTGTACGCGGTAGTGTAAAAGAATTTCTTTGTTAGGGACCGTTCATTATTTACACCCGGAGTTGGTGCCGAAGAGATATGGGTTGGGTAATGAAGTTTTTGACTAGCTCATGGGTTGGGTAAAAAAAATTGTGGCTGTCTGTCAGCTACAGTATAAAATAAAAACCAAAATTACCATGCACGGGAAAATATGAAGAAAAATGTGCACAATACATTCTGTACCAAAATAGACCATCAGTGATTGAGGAAGGACTCTATTATTGATGAGCAGGAACGTGGTTCCATTGGTATACTCAGTGAGTTTGAGTCTGAGTGAGCTTTTAAAATTTAGGCAACTTGATTTCTGTCACCATAATCTTGTGTGTTTAATTATTATTTAGTCCAGTAACACATGAGTTGGGTAAACATTATTTTGACCAATGTTGAGGTTGGGTAAATAAAAAATTTACACTGTTTTTCGCTTCTCTTCGGTACCAACCCCAGATATAAATAATTAACGGTCCCTTAGAAGATACTAGAAATTTCTTTGCAATTAGTTAATGATATATAAAAATCAATAACATAATAGAGTCGGGCCGTTCAGGATAAAAACCGAAAACCGTCGGGAAAAACCCCGAAAAAAACGTATGAAATTTCCTTATGAAAATTTAATGGAATTTCATAAAATAGTGGAAACACTGGGTAAAAAATATGGCGGCCATTTCGGTTGCGAATTACGAATATTTCGGTCTTATTTTCGCTCAATGATCCTCTAATACTCTATGCTTCGCACGCTGTTTCTGCAAGTTTCAAGTATTTTCCCGATTTTTCCGGTTTATTCGTTTTTTTTGTCAAAAGAAAAATCGATTGAATCGGGTTTTTTTAAAAATCGTTTTTTTCGGTTTTATCGATAAACCGCCCGACCCTATAACATAACCAGTGTGCTTCGCAAATAGCCAGTATTATATATAGTATGTGAAAATAAAGCTAGCTAGACGGAGCCTTTGTTTCAAAGACGAAGTCAATCATACTGCAGGGTGTCTTGTTGATTTAACCATGATCATCAGTAATATGAATGCAAATTACTGAAGATATCATTAGCAAACTTGTCTGGGGTAAAAAAGAATCAATAACAACAAGATTGATTGGCAAATGGACGGCCTTATATAGTATGCGAAAACGGACTGAGTTTGCTGATAGGAACTTTTATTTGAAAATCAATCACATTAATTGCAGGATGTCTTGTTGGCATTCGTGAGCACACGCCCTTTAGTAACATGAAAATATAGTTTATTTGAGCGAACTTTCATTTCGAAACTCGTGCAGTCATATTGTAGGGTACTGTATATCTTGTTGGTTTAATCATTCTTTGTAGTATGAATAAAACATATGGAGTTTCAGTTTCGTATGCGTTGTATTCAAATTGATGGTTTCTCCCAAGATTTAAAACTCTCAATTAAACCAATTCCCACAACTGAGGGAAGCAAAAAATAACAGGCTTGAAACACAACTGACGGAAGCAATGGAGGCGATGGAAAGATACCAAAATAAGATGGAACAGATAATTGATCATCCGTTGCTGACCAGGAGAACCGTCTCAAAGTAAAGTGAACTACAACGGTGTCTTACTTTGGAAGATTGAAGGGTACCAGAGGAAGCGACAAGATGCTATTAATGGAGTGAAGACTACCATATTTAGTCGTCCATATTTTTACACTAGTGAGTTCGGATATAAGATGTGCGCTAAACTATCTATGAACGGAGACGGATTTGGAAAAGAATCGCATTTGCCTTTGTTTTTTGTTGTGATGAAAGGCGACTACGACGCTCTTCAAACCTGGCCGTTGCAAAAGAAGATCACGAAGATGCTCTTGGATCAAGGCAATGGAGCTCACATGATTGATGCGTTTAATTCGGATCCTCAGAGTTCTTCGTTTCAACGCCCAAGGTCTGATATGAAATATTGCTTCAGGTTCCCCGCTCTTTATGCCTCTTGATAGTTTGAATAACCGTCAGTACATCAAGGATGATATCCTCTTTATTAAGATTATCGTGGACTGAAAAGTTATATGCCAGGTCATATAGTGTGGCACTGCACATCCGCAATTGGTGCGTTCTCTGTAAGGATTCAGTTACATCCTAACGTGTAACTGCATGAAATTCGCATGTTTCAACGCTCTCGATTTGATCCGGAGGCTCCTGAAAGACTGTTTATCTTAAAGAAAATAAGTTTAAAATGAAAATTAAACTGTCGCGTTAAAATAGAAAACTTACTTAAAATTGGTCACAAAATTCCCAGAGCATTATCCAAAGAATAGGAGAGTTATAACCAACTGTTTAACCGTCCGTACGTTCCTTTCATATATTAACCACTATACAGGATGTATCAAAAAAAGCAAGACAATTTTGAAATTGCTCTCAATTCCACAATTCTGTTCATGAAATGTAATTTCTGCTATATATGGATTGCTTGAGTTCTTAAATTATGGAAAATATAAAAAAATTGAAAATAGTAAATTTTGCTATCCAGGGGGGTGGTCAACTTTTGCTCCCCTAAAAGTGGCTTGCGCACGGAAATAACAAACGGTATTCTTTATTTGAGTTCATATATGAAAAGTTCGCTATTTGTTGCATTTATGATAAAATTTCGGCAGGATTTTACCGAGTACAAATCCTCCGAAAAGCCTATGAAAACGTTACATTTTTCTCTGTTGGTGCTGTTCTTGCTTCATTATGAATTCATTTTTACTCCCATGAGAGTTCCGTGGAATTTCAATGGAATTTGTGCTTTCGAGATGTTTGTGCTGAAACGCATTTTCTCGTATAATACCCCGTACACTTTGAAATGGCGATGCCACAATTTACCCCGCAGCAGAAAGCCTTTATGGTATCAGAGACTAGCAACAACATAAACTCGGTTCGCCAAAGTTTCACGAAAGAATATCCAGATGTACGATGCCCTTCACGTGCGAATACGTGAAGGGCATCGTACATCTGGATATTCGTTCGTGAAACTTTGGCGAACCAAGTTTATGTTGTTGCTACGGAGGAACTCTGATACCATGCATAAAAGGAGGAACTCTGATACCATGCAACATTTTCATAGGCTTTTCGTAGGATTTGTACTCGGTAAAATTTTGCCGAAATTTTATCATAAATGCAACAAATAGCGAACTTTTCATACATGAACTCAAATAAAGAATACCGTTTGTCATTTCCGTGCGCAAGCCACTTTTAGGAGAGCAAAAGTTGACCACCCCCCTGGATAGCAAAATTTACTATTTTCAAATTTTTTTATATTTTCCATAATTTAAGAACTCAAGCAATCCAAACATATAAAAAATTACATTTCATGAACAGAATTGTGGAATTGAGAGCAATTTCAAAATTGTCTTACTTTTTTTTATACACCCTGTATAAAATTGCAATTTGCATTTAAAAAGTTGACTACATACTTGTTTTAAGGCCAGCAACACTGAACGTGATTCGACAATGCGGCGTGATTTTTCAATATCCACTGTTTCCCAATATTTAGATGTTGTATGACGTTTTGAGTTATTTGGTCCTGCACATATCTTTCAAAATTTTCTTTATTTCCTTGAATTAACAACGACCACAAATGCTTAAAAATAAAACAACTTTATTGTTTACAACGTTTCGAAGTGTTACTCCATCTTCAGGTATAATAAAGATTGCCGTAATAAAAATTTGCTTGCGCGAGCATGCAAAGATGACGTGTCCGAGAAAATTTAAATTAGCCAAACAATTAGAATGAAGTTAAATTACAAAATCTACAATATTAATTTGTCCATTCAAGTCTGGTTTAAGTTTTTGAATTAGGACAGCTTCTGTGATTTTCCGCTCCAACGAACCACTCGTTTTCTCTAGTATTCTTGCCGTAAGTTTTGGCTTTTGACCCTCATGACACACCTTATAATGTTTTGAGAAGGCCATGCATGTTCTTATATGATTTTGCTGTTGGATTCACTGCAGATCTTGAAACCGTACAGCTAACTAGTTAATAGTAGTTAGTTTTTAAATTAATAGTTTTTAGATTCAAATAAGAGTATTCATTCCTGTAAATTGAGTAGTGACTAGTGTGTATATTCTCATCCTTAACTGTAATTCGCATTGTAATTTAGTGTTTAACTACTTAATGTGAAATTTTAGAAAATAATAATAATAATAATAATAATGGGCGACTTGTCTCACCAATGTACACACCGTCGTCGTCTTGGCAGAGGTCACATTTGATGGAATAGACAACATCTTTCTGCGAGCAGTGGATTGAAGGTGTTGATGGCGAGTTTCGACAGACGTTGCATTTCTCTGTATCCTTGCATGATTTGTCGTAGGGTCTTGATTCGACGAGAAGATTCTTCAGTGAACTTTGGGGACGCTGAATTAGACGAATGTTCAAGTTGCTTCGCTTTACCGCTTTCTTTTTGTCGTTGGTGAATGCACTTGAGATGTAGGGAATGGAAAGCGTAGGTAAGGGTTCAATATGACGTTGAGGGGTTTTCTTAGGTTTGGATCTGACTCGGTTGACATACTGCTGGTTGTAACCGTTCCTTTGGGCTCTTGTCTTGAAGGATTGTTCATCTTCTTGAAGTAAGGCGTTGTTGGAACATATAGAAGTGTAAGTCGTGATCAGGATGGTTGAATTTTGCATTTAACATCAAACCCTTGTTTGCTGGTTTCGTGTACCAGCCAATTTCTACGATTCCGGAATCGTTCACTTTGGTGTTTAGGAAAGGTAGAAAACCATCTTCGCCAGGTAGTTCGATTTCATAGCGAATGGATGAATTTTGAGAATTCAGGTGGTTTTGAATCAGGCGAGCGTCTTCGGAGCTGCTGGCAGCGCCCGCAGGGGCGATACAATCATCAATGTAGCGATAGAAAAATGAAAGGGAAAGATCTGCGTAGATGGCTTGGTTCTCAATTCTGTCAAGGAAGAGGATGGCAAGGATTGGAGTTGGCGGTAGTATCTTCTTTTCCACGAAAAACACTCAGTTGTACATGTTTCTGAAGATGAATTTGGTGAGAATTTTCTTTCATACACGGTTTTATGTACTTTCAAAAATTGGAAAGTCGCGTTGCCGAATCACGCCCATGCAGTGTATATCTGCATGGTTCTTTAAAGCATTTTTTACTTTCGCTTTCCTTATTTTGCTTTATCACACAGAAGAAAAAATATGCTAGTATAATTATTGAACGAACGCCTCTATTGTCGGTGTATATATAAAACACAACGACATAGAACGCGTCAGCTAGTTGTCACTGTGAACGCCAATAATGTTGCAAAAACCAGAAAAATTGTACTTTGGCTCTCTCCTCCGCAGAGGCTTTGGTTTTCTTAGGATTTTATAATATTACGATGAGATACATTTCACTGCACTTTACATGGCGGATCTGGAAACTAGTTCTAGTACTTCACGATGCAAATTTTGATAGCTCCGTATATATATTATGAATCCGTCATTGATTGCTATCTTTACTCGCACATTTTGCTAATGATAATTATTTAATGGCTATATTAATTGATATTTATCGTATTTAGACAAAAGGATAATTTCTTTACAAAAACTTAAACCATTTTTTTCTTGTAATAATCGTATGACCATAGACAGTAACTAATATATATTTTGTTGTTTATTAAACTGAGTTGATCAGAAGTAATCGTGATTAATTTTAGAATTTCTATTTGATTATGGTTTCGGAATTCTATTCTTGATGTTGCCATTTACACGTTTAATAAAATACTCGTTGGACAAAATTCTAAAGAAATTAATGTTTAATAATCAATGTTTGGAAATCGGATAAAGATTTGTCCTGATTTACATAAACTTCATCTTTGATTTTCTCCGCTTAGACAATGTTTATTTTTAAAATTACTTCGCCAATGAACTCATAAGATGGGTCGTTTTTGTATCTGCGAAGCAGATATATATGCTATTGCAAACGTGACCGTACTGTTACCGTATATGTTAACACATAGCCATTCAGCGACGAGCTATATATAATTGAGCCAATTGTAGTCAAATACCACATATTTTAATATATATACATTTATACAATAAAACAATCATTGTATAATCATTGTATAATATTCGACGCTACGCGCCTCATCGGCTATCAGCTCATATTCGACTCGAGTTCGTAGAATAACTGTTAAATCAGTTCTCAGGAGATATTGAATTAAATCCTGGTCCTGTATTTCTGTATAACTCTGTTCAAAACAACAGTCCAACCATAGTTAATATATACTGTATATATTAACTATGGTCCAACTAAGCTGTCATCAAATTTAGTGTTAATTTATAGAAGCAAAGAAGGTTAAGTTAAATTTTTTTAATAGCATTTGAAAATGTTTGTAAAAATGTTGTATTTTTATAAGCTCTAATGTGTATAAAAAACAATTAAATGTCATTTAATTGTTTTTTATACACATTAGAGCTTATAAAAATACAAAATTTTTACAAACATTTTCAAATGCTATTAAAGAAATACCCACCCTCCCTCTTCATTACATTGTCATTTTGCTTTCTAACATAAATGTTAACTACAAGAATGATGAATAAATGTACTGGATCAGTTAGCTGGATAATTTTGTCAGAACAACCCACTTGCAAGACAATCTTACCTAAATTCATTAGTATGGAAAATAACTTAATTAACAGCTACAATAATCATATATTTAGATGGATGGATCAGATCAATGACGCACAATGTATTAAATTTGTGATACCTTCTACTCAAACTGATATTCCCCCACAACACAAATTGTTTTTGTGTGGATAGGCTGTGTTAAACCGAACAGTGTGGTATATCATTAACTGTGAACAGGATTGAAATTGAATTATATACTTCACTCATCACCTTCACAACATTCTCAGTGGTCGTCGATATATGATTGACTTTTTGCTACAGTAATGCATGTTCCTCAAATATTTTGTGTATGTTACTCAACAGTTAACATTGGCAAGTGTAAACAACA